AATTGGGTTTTCTGGCTCGGGCTTAGGGCTTGGAATTGGGTTTGGCCACCTGTCTGGCCCAGATAGGGTTTTTTTCAGGATCTGGGGCAAGGTTTGGGTATAGGGCTTGGGTTGTCGGTTGAAATGGGGTTTGGGCTGCAGATAGGCTCGTTATGGGGTTGTTTCAGGGTCGCCCGGTAGGCTCTTTTTAAGGTTGCCGCAGGGTTTGAGTGTTGCAGGGTTTGAGTGAGTTTGGCGCAGGGGGTAGAGTTCTAGGTTTGGGTTAGCTATGCATAAGGGGTTTCGTTAATGAGGCCGGAACCTCAAGGCCCTGAGTTTGGGTGGCTGGGCTATGTGTAATACTGTAAACCCTGGAGCTTAATTTCGGAAACGAAATTAAGCGCGACGTCCCTAATTTCAATTTAGAATTTAAGCGCCACGTCACTAATTTCGCGTTTCATATCTAGCGCGACGTCAAATGCCTAATTTGGGTTTTGAAATTAATATCTACAGGCCTTGCGGCACGGGCCGGCCTGGCCGTCTGAAAGCTGAAACTCGGGTTTGGGTTTAGGGGCTTAGGGGGCGCAAGGAGTCGGCACGTAAGCAAGAAGAAAGGGCAAAAGTAAAAGAAAATAAGAAGAAGAGAAAGAAGAAGAAAAACAAGAAGAAAAAGAAGAAGAAAAGAAAGAAGAAAAAGAAGAGGAAGAAGAAGAAGAAGAGAAAGAAGAAGAAAAAGAAGAAGAAAAGAAAGAAGAAGAAAAAGAAGAGGAAGAAGAAGAAGAAGAGAAAGAAGAAGAAAAAGAAGAGGAAGAAGAAGAAGAAGAGAAAGAAGAAGAAGAAGAGAAAGAAGAAGAAACAGAAGTAGAAGAAAAGAAAGAAGAATGAAAAGAAGAAGACGAAAAGAAGAGAAAGAATAATAACAAGAAGAAAGGGTAAAGGAAGAAAAAGCATAAGAAAAAGAAGAAGAAACAGAAGAATAATAACATAAAGAAGAAGAAAAAGAAGAAGAAAAGAACAGAAAGAAGAATAATAAGAAGAAAGGGTAAAGGAAGAAGAAGAAGAAGAGAAAGAATAATAAGAAAAAAAGAAGAAGAAACAGAAGAAGAATAAAATAAAGAAGAATGATGAAGAATGAAAAGAAGAAGCAAAGAAATAAGAAAAGGAAGAATAAGAAAATAAAGAAGAAGAAGAAGCAGAAGAAGAATAAACGAAAGAAGAAGAAAAAGAAGAAGAATAAAAGAAAAGAAAGAAGAATAACAAGAAGAAGGGGAAAAGGAAGAAACATAAGAAGAAGAAGAAGAAGAAGAAGAGAAAGAAGAAGAAGAAGAAAACTAAGAAAAAAAGAATACGACAAGTAAGAAAAATATAAAGAAGAAGAAATAACAGGAAGCGACAGCCGAAACCCTATACATAATCCTCTGCGTGCGCGTGCGCGTGCGCGTGAGCGCGCGCGCGCGCGCGCGCGCGCGCGAGTGAGCGAGCGAGCGAGCGAGCGAGCGAGCGTGCGTGCGTGCGTGCGTGCGCGCACGCGCACGTGCGCGTGCGCGCGCAACAGCATCAGTGGCATCAGCGGCTTGGGGGTGGGCCCCCCGCCCAACCCCCTCCCCACCCACGCGAGCATCATGAGCATCAGCGCCTGCACCACCTTAGGAAAATGAAGGGCTCATGATGCTCACCCATGGGTGCGTAGCGCGTCGGCTGAACCCCCCCGAAGCTTCGCGTGTCAATGAGGCTCACCGTGGAGGCGCGGCAGTGCCGCGACAGGAGGTGTGTGTCGAAACACGCGAAAAACACGGTATTTGCGGTGTTTTCTGGCTTTGTTGAGCCTCCCGTGGCCCCGGAGGCGGGTCGCTGATCCTCATGATGCTCGCCCCTGTTTGGGGGGGGGGTACCCCCCCAAAACTTAAGGTATACGGTCTTTTTTCGCATGTTCGCCCAAGGTCAAAAAGCAGGGTCGATGATGCGTGCAAAAACGCATGGTATTTACGATGTTTTCGGGACTTCCACGCATGCGCGTTTGGGATCCCGCTCGGAGCCCTCCCGGAGCTCCCGAGCCTCATGCAAGGAGACATGCCATGTTCAGGGTGGGTCGGCGGCACTGGCGGCGCCCGCATAAAGGCAAGCCTTTAGGCTAGCCGTGCTCCGCACTGGACCACGATGATTTAATGGCTACTGCCAGTGTCGCCGACCCCTCAACTTGATCCTCCTCCCAGGTGCGAACCAAGTCTGGAAACTCAATCGGTTTGCCTGCATCTCTTAAATCCATTTGTAGAAGTTTGTTGTTTTGGGCCCTTCAAAGGGGACTCCTTATAAGACCCCTTATAGCCAGAGAAAATAGAGAGATTAGGGAAGATAGAAAAGATGGAACAGGAAAGATAGAAGAGGAGAAGATGAAGAGGTAAGTGCCGCTGACCTTGGCCAGGGCTTGGCTGGCAGCCTGGCAGAACCCCAAGCCCATCGTTTCTGCAAAATTGCTCTCATGGAACAGGTGCAAGTTCAACCATGTCATTTGTCTTTGCGATCGCAATAAAAAAATAGTTTGAGACAACCCGCGCGATACATTCGACGACGCGCGTAGAGGGTTTAGGGACACAGGCAATGCATTTAACGTACAGACCCGATCCTCCAGGTCCACGTAGTCGCTACTCGTATGTGATGATGCCCATGATGCTGATGCTCATGTTGTTTGCGACAAGAAACGGGCCCCTTTCGGCCCTCCGCAGGGCACATAGCCCTGCGATGCCGCGGGGTGTCTTTTTGCCTCACGATGCTTTTATTCTTTCTAGAAAGTGCCCCTGTATGTAGATGATTTTCCCGAGCCCAAACCCCCGGTTAAGTTTTATATACATCGTTTTGAAGAAGGGGGGCCCGTGGAAGGGTGTCGGGTCCCAATAGGGTCTCACACCTGGGCCTGGGGTTCCCTCTAGCCCAGGCCAGCATGTACCATGTTGTACTTGTGTTTTGCCATCTCACGACGTAACTTCATCCAGAAACTATTCGTACGAGTGCCCACAGTGCAAGGCAAAGATCGTGTCAGCCATGTGGGATGGATGCATCGACAACCGATGGACATGTGGACACCAGTTTACGGTGGCTGCCGGCGAAGTCGTTGGGGAGGTGGAAGAGTCAGGGATAGAAGGTAGAGGGGAGGGGGTAGAGGGGTGAGGCTGATGAGAGCAACACAAAAGGTTGGTCAGGGACGAAAATGGGCGGTAGAGGGTAGGGCTACAGGAGGAGTAGGGTGGAAGGTCTGGGTAGGGGGGAGGGTGGGGGGGGGTCTAGGGGTAGGGGGGGGTAGAGTGGGGAGGGCGAGCGTGCCGAGAAGGGGGTAGGGTGGGGGGGTGGAGCGGTCGGGGATAGAAGGTCTACAAGGTCGGGGGAGGGGTGCGGGGTCTTCACTGACGCCGCCCCGCTGTTTCTAAGCCGGCGGATAATTTCGGCAGTGTCGAACAAGGAGACATGGAGAGAGAGGGAGAGAGAGAGAGAGAGAGAGAGAGAGAGAGAGACATGCCCCGCAGAAGAAGAAGAAGAAGAAGAAGAAGAGAGAGAGAGAGAGAGAGAGACTTAACCAGTAGACTGCTTGTGTGCAAGCTCTGCGCATTTTCGACGAATAGTTTCCGCACTACATGTCGTGTCATCCCTGTCCTGCGACGGGCTAACTGTCAAGCTCTAGCTTGGCTTAGCTCCTCTAGCTGACTGCCCTGTTGCAGGACTTCATCCTTGAGAGTCCCCCCTTCGAGCCGTCCTCCGACCCGCAGAGCTTGAACTTCTACTACCATATGCTTGGCTCTAGTGTGGGCACCTTGCAGCTGGAAGCTTGGAGCAACAGCTAGAGGTTGCTGTGGTCGCGGGAAGGGCAGCAAGGATCCGAGTGGACACCGGCCCTGGTGCTGGTGCCTCCGGGCGCCATGATGCTCCGCTTCGTGGGCACAACGGGCGACGGTTGGGCCAGCGACATGGCAGTGGACGCGGTTGTGCCGAGCTCCGCTGCAGTGCAGTTTACAGGGCTCCCTTGTGACTTCGAGTTGGACACGTGCCTTTGGTTCAACCGGGGGAACTCCAGCTGGCGCAGGGTCTCTGGCCAGGCAAACGATGGAACCTGGTTTGTGGAGGCTGTCAGCGAGAACGAAGAACCTCATATTCTGGAGAGCCTTGCCTTCGACGCTCTGGAGAAGAAGACCTTGAGCTTTGCCTACCAACTCGTCGGCTCCAGCTCCACGGAATTGCAGCTCGACTACAAGCCCGTGGGTGGAGATTGGACGAGCTTGTTTCTGCAGAGAGGTGACCACAGCTCTGCTTGGCACAGCACACTGGTCCGGGTCCCCGACAGTGCCGCAGCCCTCCGCTTCGTCGCCTCCACAAGGGCAGGCGAGGCCGTGCGAGTGGACTCTTTGGTGGTTGGTGTTTCCAGTTTTGCAGCTGTGACTTGCGACTTCGAGTCGGATCTTTGTGCATGGTGGGGCAATTGGCAGCGCAACAGTGGGCCGACTGAGACAAGAGGCACGGGCCCAGATGCTGCCTTCCGCGGCCAGCACTTCGTACATGTCGAGGGGCATGACCCAGGGGTTGATGAGCAAATTGCCGTCACCCTCACTAGTCCTGTTTTCCCGGCGACCACCGGCACGGCCTACCTGGAATTCGCCTACCACATGCACGGAGGCGGCATCGGCACGCTGGCCCTGCAATTCCTCCGCAGCGGTCTTGGGACCTGGCACACGCGCTGGTCGCGTCGGGGCACGCAGGGAACTGCCTGGCAGCAAGCGAAGGTGAGCCTGCCAAAAGGCACGGCACAGCTTCGCTTCGTCAGCTATGGAGCCGTGAATTCGGACACCGACGTGTCTCTGGATGCAATCGTAGCCTGGCTCGCTGACCAAAGGCCAAAGTTCCTATCGCTTTGCGCCGGAGGCCATCACAACTGCGCGCTCCTCCACAAGACGGGCGAGGTGAAATGCTGGGGCCATGGTGGTTTCGGTGCTCTTGGCTCCAGCTCCACAGCCAACGTGGGTTACGACCCGAACGAGATGGGTGCCGCTCTGCCCCCAGTGGACCTCGCAGGCGCCAGGGCCGTGCAGGTGGCCTGCGGTTGGGATCACAGCTGTGCTGTGCTGCAGGGCGGAGCTCTGCGGTGTTGGGGTAGGAATGATTATGGGCAGCTGGGAGCCGTGAGCCCGGAAACTATCGGCGACCAGGCTGAGGAGATGGGTTCGAACCTTTCAACTGTGGACGTGGGTGCCAACGCCAGCGTGCTGCAGGTGGCCTGCGGCCAGTGGCACACTTGCGCTCTGCTTCAGGGGGGTCTGGTCAAATGCTTCGGCTACGCGGGCTCAGGTGCTCTTGGCTTGGGAGATTCGCTGCTCGGCCTCGGGGTGTTCAGAGGCTTGTCAGATGCAAACACATTTTAAAAGCATGACATGGCGACTCAATGGTGACATGCTGTGACATGCATCTCATCCTCTATAAGGATCGATCGTGGTCACGACGTTGCGTCCATGGGCGACCAGCTCCCGACCCTGGACTTGGGCAGCGACTTCGAGCCCGTGCAGCTCACCTTGGGATGGGAGCACAGCTGCGCACTCTCTCGCCAAGGCATGGTCAAGTGCTGGGGCAAAGGCGCTCCTATCGGCCTGGCCAAGGGTTGGCAGGATATTGTGGGCCTTCAGAGCGGGGAGATGGGCGACTTCCTGCCTGCCCTGGCCTTGGCGGGCGAGGCGGTGCAGATTGCGGCAGGAGCGTACCACACTTGTGCCGCGGGGCCCCCAGCCGGGTTGGCAGGCTCAAGTCTCCCATCCACATGTTAGAGAGTATCTTTCGTTTGTAGGGTACCGAGTGCATCGAGTGCATTGACCATCAATGTGGTCCCCGTCCGTCAACGGATCTGTGGTTTTGCAATGAGCTGTGCAATACGAGTGAGATTGAAGTACTCAGCTCTACGAACTACAGGTGCTGGCGGAGGGTTCGCTGTGGTGCTGGGGCTACAACAACATCGGCGACGCTCAAGGCCAGCTCGGCCACGGCAGCATGGGCTATGCGGCCTGGATGCAACAGTTGCGTACTCGGCTGCATGCAGCAGCCGGGCAACCTCTTCCCCGGCACCGAGGCGGAAAGCGAGGTCGGGCCCAACCTGCCAGCAACACAGCTGGGTGACGGTATGCTGGCCGTCGACTTCGCTGCTGGCACCTATCATGGGTGTGCCCGGCTTCAGGACGACTCCGTGAAATGTTGGGGCTGGGGCAGGGATGGTCAGCCCGGGCCTCGGAACGGCAGCAGTGCTTGCAAAACGAAGTGGCGACGAAGCCCAGCCAACTTGTCGGTGCTTGTTGGGGCGTCTGCTTAGGCTCGGCCAGGGCAGTTCCGAGAATCTCGGAGACGAGCCCGGGGAGATGGGTGACGCTCTGCACCCCATCGACTTGAACAACCTGGGTGTATGGCAAGTGGTGGCGGGCAAAAGCCACACCTGTGTGATCCTGGAGGATGACACTGTCCGGTGCTGGGGCAGGAATAGTGAAGCGCAGCTGGGCGCTGGCATTTCGGGAAGCATCTATGTTGGCACCGTCAAGGGGCAGGACCGACTCTGCTCCGCTTTTGAGCTGTCTTTCTTCCGCACATTGAAAGGCTTCAACTGCGTGTTTCCGAAGGGTAGGACTAAAGGTCAGGCTCGCTGCCTCCATCTTCCAGCAAGCCAGTTTGCAGAGTCTTCCCTTGCAGATGGGATCGGCCCTCGTCGAGTCGGAGCTCTTCGTGGTGGCGCCAGGCACCTCGCTGGAAGCCCTACGGCTGGTGGGCGGCCCTACCGAAGGCTGGCTAGAGTTCCACTACAACGGCTCCTCTGGCCTGGTGTGCCTGGACCATAAAAAACGAAGCGGCTGGTGCATGTCGTTGTTGAGAGAGGCACTCCTTAGAAATTCTCAGGTGCGACGACAACTTCGACGCTGCAGCCGCTCAGGTGGCCTGCCGGGAAATGGGCCAGCGCCCCAGAAAAAGGAGAGTGCAGGTCAGTTGATGCAGAGCTTCCCGCCAGGCCTCATGCAGGGCTGGTAAATCTTCTCAGGCATGGCCGGCGGAACTCCCCTCTCCTGGAATGTTGGCAGCGGCACCATCCTTGCCGACAACGTTGCATGCAAGGCCGCAGCAAGTTTCGGCTTCGCAGTTCTTGTGATATCTTGTGATGCCCTTCTCGGTGTGCTCAGGGCAGCGAACTCAGCCTACGACAGTGCCGGTTCCGCGGATGGGCCCTGCATGACTGCACCCCACAAGAAGCTGCAGGCTGGGTCAGTAGCATGGTGCAATCTTGTGCGATGACGCTGCTGTTCCAGGACACACACCTATAACTTATGCCTCAAGGCAGGGTTTTCAGGGTAATCTAGCCACGAACTGAGCCCGTAGGCGTGCGGTGCCATTTGGACGCGTGGAGCAAGTTGACAGTCACCGGCAGCCCAGGCGCACGCCAAGACCCTTCCATGGTTTGGGATGTGGAAGGGCAGTCTGCGCTGATGTTTGCCGGGCATGCCAGCAACACCTTCGAGTATTTTGCGGACCTCTGGCAATACAGCTGGCCGGAGTGGGCCTGGACAGAGATGGTGCTGCCAAGGGAGGCCCTCAGACCAAGCACGCGCTCTGGCCACGCAGCTGTCTGGGTAGCTCGGTCCCGGTCGATGCTCGTCTTTGCTGGCCGATTCCTCGGCACTTTTTACAATGATGAACTGCAGAGAGAGCAGCACCTGGAAACAGCTACCTGCCCAGATGGCGCCACCAGCACGGGCGTACCACTCAGCGGTCCTGGACGCGGAGGATGGTGCTGTGCTGATGTTTGGTGGCGAAAGCAGCTCGGCGAATCTCGGCGACCTGCACCGCTACAGTCTGGAAGACAGAGAGTGGAGCGCCTCTTCAGCGCTGGGGCCTGCAGCCCGCAGCCGGCACAGCGCCATCTGGGCGGCCGCTACCCGTTCTATGCTCGTTTTTGCCGGCTGGAGCGGGCAGCAGTACTTGGATGGCCTGCACAGCTACGATGCCTCTGCAAACCGCTGGACCGAACTGCCGGCTGCCGGATACTGGCCTCCTGCACGTGGGGGGCATGCAGCTGTGTGGGACCCTGTCTCGATGAGCATGTTGATTTTGGGAGGCATTCAGAATCTCAGCATCAACCTCAGCAACTCCTTTGCATACACCCTGAGCTACGATTCCAAACTCTACAACTACAGCCTTTCGACAGGTTCCTGGAAGGAAGAGGGCCAGCGGGGCCAGCGGGCCGAGGAAGCTGAGGAAGCCGGGCTGCCAGCTCCAACGGGCCGCACCGGCCATGCCATGGTTTGGGCTGATGACTCCCGCGGGCTGCTGGCCTTCGGCGGCTTCGATGGCTCCTACCTGCAAGAGACCTGGCGATACGTTGCGAGCGAGACTTCTTCACCCTTGCTGCTGAGCTGCCAGGTGGGCCGCAACTGTGATTTCGACTTCGAGAACACCTCGGGCATCGCCGCGAAGCGTGCCTGCTCTGACTCCGAGCTTCTGGACGGCTTGCTGCAGGAAGCAGGCTCCGATCGGGAGAATGCCCTGACGTTTCAAGCAGCAACATCTGCGTCGCGGCTGTTTGTGGAGCCAGGGTATCACCGTCTTTGCTGGTGCGATGCCGATTGCAGTCATCCCAGTGACTTTCAGATGGCTATAGGACACTTCATCGTGCAAGGACCGTATCTCAACCAATCCGGCCAGTGCCACTTGGGATCAGTATGTGTGGTCCCTGAGTGGCGTGGCATAGGCATTTCCACGAACGACAGCATTATCATCAAGAGACGTTGCCTTTCAGGGGAGGCCTCCTCCGGCTACTCGGGGCCCCGCTCCATCAGCATCTCCTTCAACGTGGTTTCTGGCTCGTACTCGCTGCACGTGGGACTGCTGGACCCTGCTGAAGGCCTCAAGCCAGAGGTACTGGAGCTCCTTGGCGGCTGTTAATTCAGTAACCACAGTAGCATTGTTAGGTCTGATGGCTGGACTGCAGCACGAACGCAAGAGACTGGACGTGAACGCGAAAGGCCGGAAGAGTTTCAGAGCGCAGCAATGGCCGGCCAAATAAACACAGCTTAGTTTGAGCAGGTTGGTGTAGGCAACAACCATCAGGCAACCAACAATGATCTCTATACTCTATATCGTCTATATCCCTTCTTCGATTCCACCTTCATGTTGGGAAAGCAAATTCAAGGCTCGGGCCCTCGACGCTTGCCCAACAGCCTCTCGCATGTTGGTTTTCTCGTTTAGTAAGAGAGGTTTCCATCAGCGGTGCGCCGCGAGGATTGTGTGCTGAACGGGAATGGGTTCCGGTCCGGTGTTTCGAGGTCCGGAAGAAGATTTCAGAGCACTTCGGGCACAGGTACCTTTGTCATCCTGTGCCTCAGAGCCTCGCAGAGCCTGTACCCCAAAATCTTTAGCCCTTTTCAAGACTCTATACCCTGAACCCCCGCAACAATTCTCAAAAGCCCCTTCGAAGAAACACAAACTACTCCCAAAGTCTCGAAAGTGAGTGCGATCATAGCAAACGCGTGGCCGCACATACCATTAGTTGTACTTGTGGGACATCTGCTGGTGCACATTCGGGAGGCACGCGAGCAAACTCGAAGTGAGCGAAGACAAGTTTGTGGAAGAACAAAGCAGCACACTTGCACCGTCGCCTCCGAAGATTTTGGAGTTTCAGCTGGGACTCCATAAGCAGTTTTCAGCCCTAATTAGTCTAGCTGTTAGACCCGGCTCTACATGCAGAGCAGCAAGGCTAGAGCTGGTGGCAGAGCAAAGCCAAGACAATCTTTCGGGCCGAAGGCTTGCCAAGGCTTTTGGAATTGGAACTCATGCACTGCGGCACACCCCCAAAAAATTGACTGCGGGATGTGCCAGTCACTGGTGGCCATGTCTGAAGCAACACCACCAAACCTACTAGACCACTGCAGATTCTCAACCAGTCCCTGTCTCTACCGGGTTGTGCAAGAAGAGGACCGGCAAAAGGTCCTCCGCTGGCACGAGACACCACGAGTCGAAGCTATTAACTGGGCTAGATAGTTTCTGACGAAATCGAACCGTTAGAGAACATTACTACTGAGAGGCACTCGACCCCACACGTTTCGTTCCGTACTTACCGTAGTTAAGCACCGTCGTCTACCGGCTTACTTGCGCCTCGTGCCAAGAAGATTCGAGGGAATCATCAAAAACAGTAGAGCCTGTATTTCGCCCGATGTATGAAGCAAGTCTGGGCAATTGCTTTTGGCAATCACCGGCTTGCTGCTAGATGATGTTTTTGTATTTAGATGCAACTGCTTGTCAAATTCAGGGGTCAACGGCATCCTGTCACATTTAGCATGCTGGATCTGTTTAGTTTGCACTTGCAAACCGTACCTGATTCCTTCCGCTGCAATCGCTATCATGTCTTGAGAATCCTGCGACGACCCCAAGCAAACAAAAAAAGCCAACGATGGATGTCAAGCATCGTCAGTGTTGAGAGTCTTCCGGCAACGACCTTAGCGGGCACATCACTGTCATGTGACTTCGTAACTGCCGCTGGCCACAAGATCTATTGAATGGGTCTGTACCAACCGTTGAGCATGCAGAAGACGGAAGAATATGGAAGAGTCGTCGGTTGTCGACATGCTATCAATGCGACATATGCTTTCAAGCTTCCTTGGGCATGGAAACAACAGGCACTGTAAATCGAAATCGCTGGAGAAAAACTTCAAGAGTTTTGACACAGTGTGGAGGCCCCTTCTCAGGCGTAGTCAACGAACTGGTTGCTCAGGATGGCTAGGTCCCGGTAACACTGCCAGTGCCATAGAACTCATAGAATGTCATAGAACTGCCAAACTCAATGGGCCCTTTGAAGAGTGACCACTGCAATGAGCCCAGACCTGCAAGTTTGGATACAAGCCAACGACGTTAAACAAAAACTGCTTGTCGCAGGGTCAAGCTGCTTTTCGCAACTGCTTGATGCATCTGGCATCATTTGGCATCAAATGCATCAACCTCCCAGGCTCTGCTGGTGCCCTGCAAGTGACCTTTGCACCATGCCGGAGGAGTTCATGGTCGTAGCTTTGCGCTTAGACACCGTCTGCCCTCCTGGGCAGTACAGCGAAGAAGCTCGGCATTGAAAGTGCTACAGTAAAGTGCAGCAGTCACGCGAACTGCTACACGGTGAGCTGCCTCCCAGGACATGCCTGGCGCCGTGTGCCTGCAGTGCCCCGCGAACTTTTTCTGCCCTGGGGTCACCGAGCTGCGGAGTTGCCCCCATGCGAGCGTTTCGGAGGCAGGCTCGCGTCTGCAGCCCAGTTTTTTGCAAACTTGGGTCCCGACATTCCCTGATCGAGGGCTATCTCCTGTCGAGCTGAGGTCAGCTCTCTGACTGCATGTGCCTTCAAGGCCGCTACTGGAGTGCAGAGAATGCCGCCTGTGTAGCATGCCCCACAGGGTCTTCGACATTGCAGGCAGGTCCGGTCGAAGAAAAACAGGGTGCTACTGTAGCAGAACGCTGATGTTTTGTGATGGATGTTGAGCATGTTTGTCTCTACAGGAGGGTGCCTTGAACCTGTTTTTCTGCACGTTGTGCAGCTTGAGAAAGCTCGAAATTGTTGTGTTGCAACGCGTGCAATTCATGATGCTGCATAATAGCTTCTGCCTGGAGGTAGGTGCCACCAGCCTCTCTTCCTGCTCGTGCATTCCCGGTTTTGTCAACGAGGACGGCAGCTGCGAGGCATGTGGAATCGGCTGGTTTTGCCCCGGAGGCTCCGAGAGGAGGTGGCCATGTGCTGAAACGAAAACAACCCACACCAACACTGCAGGCTCACCTTCCGAGTGCAACTGCAAGCCAGGATTGTTTCTGCAAAACGGGCTCTGTGCCCCGTGTCCGCTGGGATACTTCAAGGCCAGTATCGGAGATGACGAGTGCTCCCAATGTGGTGATGGGACATACAGCAACCACACGGGAGCCACGGAGCCGTGCCTATGCGCTACTGGCTATGGCTTTGATGACACTTCGGGACGCTGCATGGCGTGCCAGGCTGGCGAATATAAGGCAAGTGTGGGGAACTTGCCATGCAGCAGGTGCTCCACTGACAAGTCCTCAACATCAGCCGCCACATCACCCCTTGACTGTCGCTGCCGAGCAGGCCTTGCCGCAGAGGGCAGCATGTGCAGAGATTGCTCGGAGGGCTTTTTCTGCCCAGGCAAAGGTGAGGAGCTGGCATGTCCCGAGAACGCAACTTCTCGTGCTGGCTCTTCCTTGCAGACAGACTGCCTGTGCACCCCTGGCTATTTCTTCAGGGAGGACAACTGCGAGGCCTGCCCTCCCGGGCGCTACAAGCCAACCCTGGCCAACGAGCTCACTTGTCCACTGCAATGCCCCACGAACGCTCTGAGTGCTCGCGGATCTACCAGCCTTTCAGCCTGCTTTTGTGCCGAAGGATATTTTGCAGAATTAGACTCGGCAGATTCAATAGCCAGGTGTGCCAGTTGCTCAGGGCTACCACACTTGCAATGTCCGGGCGGTTTTGAAGGTCAGACTACCCAGCACAAACTGCCAGTTTCTAGCCCTGGTTATTTCCAAACTGGAACAACCACAGCCGTGAAATGCAACGTAGTTGCAGCCAATGGCCTGAGCACATGCCTGGGCGGTATCATTTGTACTGAGGGCGACTCCAAAGGCTTGAGCACCGAATGTGTTGGCATCTACCATAACGCCTGCGGTGAAGGCTCCACTGGCGAACTTTGTGGAGAATGCCCAGCTGGCTGGGGAAGACATGCCTTCCAGCAGCCCTGTCAGCCATGTGCCGCTGGTGCAGCTCTGCCGCTGATCCTGTCCTATCTGTCGACGTCGGCACGAAGGTCGCAACATGTTGAGAGGTAGCGTTGAGCGTTTCATGGTGCTTGTAGTTGAAACACGAGACTTTAGCATTATGACCCAATATGCTTTGTCATTTTCGGGATGTGCTGCATGCGGTTGGCGACCCGTAAAATAAATGCCAGGCCATCGTCAACTTTGTGGTGGCATATATGGCCGCAGTAGCAGCTGTAAGGGGAAGCACTAAGCTGCACACGATTATGATCCGCATAGCCACCCAGTGGCTGGCCGCCTGCTCCGTCCTGGCCACCTTCGACCTCACCCAGATCCCACTGGACACTACAACGGAGCAAAACACAGAGAACGACGGGCCACTCTTTCCATGGCCTGCGCAGGTCACTGCAGCGATGCTGGGCCTCTTCGAGACCCTCACCCTATCACCTGTGCTGACTTCCGTCGATTTGGCCGCGCAATGCATGGCTCAGGCACGGGAGCACGGGAGAGCATTTCCTGAGACGGCTTGAACTTTGGGACTCATATATGCCATTATATGCCTATGCCTATGAATTTATCTGAGTATCTGTAACTGTAGGAAGCACGATGCCAAGCACAGCATGCGGGTTAGCAGGTGCACATGTCAGCTTAAAACGTGACACCTGCAGCTGTGGACGCAGGAGGTGTCTGCCCGCAACTCCGCACCACGGATTGCCATGGCGGTGTACCAGCTCCTGCTGCCTGTGCTGGTAGTGTTGAGCATCCTGCTGCTCTCCCTGTTTGTGGTGTGCTTCGTCGTACCTTTGGGGCAGCACTTGGGCCACCCCTTCAACGAGCTCGGGCGAAAAGCCAAGGCTTTGAACAGCCTGCGCAAGGCAGTGGACCAGGTGCTGAGCGAATCTTTCAAAGATGGTGTGGCTTCCGAGACACCTTCCCGGCCTGTAAGCACGCCTCCTTCCTGGGCAGACTTGAAGCGCTCAGGTGTGTTAAAGGAGCTGCAGAGCACGAAGCAAATTTGGCAGGCAGCTCAGGACCCCGACGCCTTCCTACGGAGGGCCACAGCCCAGTCTCGCACGCTGTTGCTCCGCGCTTGCGCGGCCCGGGCGTGCAGTCTGGCCCCGCCCACCAAAGCACTGCAGGCGAACCGGCACCTGGCTCAGGCAAATCCGAAACTGCAAGCTATTCTGCATCAACATTCCAGGTACTTGTAGCATGTGCTTTTGGATGGCGTGTGCAGGCAGACCTTCGGGATTTCCTGACCTTGGACTTCGCCAATGAGTCGACGGACTTCACTGCCATGCTGGACAAGGTCTTGGAGACAGCATGGCTCAAGACCCCAGAACAGAAGCTCTTCGAGGTCAACATACATGGCGAGAAGAAGCTCGACGCAGAGACGCACCAGGGCAATGGCCCTAAGATCTCAGAGTTCGAAGCGGCTGCAGATCCTGACGAAACCGCTGCCACCTCGCAGCCTCCCGCAGACATCGACACGGACATGGTGCCCGGTCCCCGGGCGCGTTGCTCGCAAACCGCCTTCCGTAACAACATCCATATTACTCCATAACTACTCAATATTTGTAGTGTCATTGGTGTTTACCGAGGCCCTCCGAGGACCAGCAGCGGACAACGCCATCGCGGCATGGCTTGAGCCTCATGGCTGATGAGGCCCTTCCTGCGCATGCATGCATGCATGTACAGGATCCCATTAATCACATACAAAGGATCGTGGTTAGGCATGCGGCATGCTTGTCTCTTCTGCAGGCTGTGGAGTCTTTGGACTTCGGTCTTTTCTCTCTAAACCTTCCTTCAGCGACCTTGTCAATCAGAGCATGCCGATCATTTGGATAAGCCTGGTGGCCTTGTGGCCCGGGCTGCTCTCAAGCTTCCTTCGGATGATTTGGTGCGTCCCCATCCCGGAGAATGGCGTGGTGGTCAGCCGCCTCCTGCCCAACCCTTCCGTGGTCTGCTGGTCTGACGACCACATGGCCTCCGCCGGCGTCGCCATGGTAGGGTTGGGTGTTTGGTGTTTCGGGATCCCCGTGACGTTGGCCGCTCGACTGCTTTGCCTCCGCGACAGACAGGCTCCCGAGAACTTCAGGCGTGTCAGGGGGAAGGATGCAGTAGGAAGGTGGGTCAGGGTCTGTGCATGGCAGGCGATTTGGCTATTTCTTCCAGGGTCTGGAAGCGCAGTTTTGGTGGTGGGACCTCATCGTCAAACGTTTGGACACGGCCTCAGTGCTTCATCGGTGGCAGTCTCAAGCACAGGGTGGTCTGCTTTCGCCTAAACCCCGCTCGTAAATGGTACCAACAGGCTTGGCCTAGCCGCAGAGTTGCAAATGACATCAAATGACCGAGGATGTGGCGCTGATGATGCTCGTCACCTACACGTCGTTCGTGTTGGACCCGAAGGCCAAGCTCATGCTGTTCCCGGTCCTCTCAGGTGTGCAGGCGGGAGCATGCTGTGTTCTGTTTGTTCGCCTCCCGCTCTTGTTTCTTTGGAGCCTAACGGACGCAGCCCCGCCCAGCCGCTGTCCCCAACAGCAATCTGGGCTCCTCAGTTTGGTGGACCTATCGTTTTTGAAATACTGTCCGTCTTTGTTTGCCAGGTTTTTCTGGCCGCCTGGATCCGACCATACGCAAACGATCAGGCAGAGATTCTCGATGTCGTGGAGGCGCTCGGGCGTGATGTAGAGTCCTCTCCCCAATCAAGGGTGGGTAACCCAGCAGCGCGGCTGGGCGACTTACAAGATGTGGGCTGTTGTGGGGTGCTCGGGCTCGCATTTACAAAGTGCTCGTCCGTCCCTTGGTTTGAGCCTACGTAGTTCTTGTACCAGTAAATGTGTCGGCATACTTTAGTCCATCTCGAGATAGGTTTAAGTCTTTCCAGTATAATTGTTTTTTGTTGCGGTATACTGTTTTGGGGCATAACCGTATGCCGGAACATTTGCACTTTTTCGGGCTTCATTACTTAACCTGGTATGCTATGATGAATGACCTTTAACAATACTTCTGCAAAGATGGGTAGGAGGCTTCTTGGGGGTATCCATATGCAATGCGAAGACTAGATAAACCCTAAACCCCAGAGCCGAAGTTACTTGGGGTCACTGGATTCCAGTTAGCAACCATTCGGCGATGCAGGAGTGAAGACGTATCAACACAGCGGTCATTCAAAGCACCCCAGGCTAAACAAGATTAGAGTTCATCTTGCCCCGGCGATACTTTTCTCCGTACTCAACAAAAATATCTCTGAAGGCCAGAGTAGCAAGAAGTACCCCGCTGCACTTGCTGATAGTTGTGGGTCGCATGCGACTCTAAGCTTGCGAAGCACCCAACGTCTAAGCCACAGCTCAACAGAAGTGACCGGGTCATCCTGTAGGGCACCGAAGTCATCGCCATGGGAAATATGCGCACCCAAGACATCTGGGGTATATGACTTCAAAGCAGGAATGCACCAGAAGACCACCTTGATCCACCTTGTTCAGGTCACGCTTTCCATGATTCGTTTTCTGCTGTTCAGTGCGGTGGCTACGCTTCTGGTTCTGCAGCCGCCGGCGAACACGACGCATATGCCACTGTGCCGAAGCCCTTGCCCTGCAGTAAGGCCTCGTCTGGTACCTAGTACTGGTAGCAAACATCCATTCAAGGCACGCTACCTTGACAATGTGAAACACAGGCTGCATGAGTCAAGGTCATGTCCCAGAAATTCAGGACATTGATGGCCCCTCCCTTCGTTGGCTCCTATTGCTCAGCTAAGGGTGGCCTACACGCTGTTCATGGTTCTTCTGCTAGCGTGCGTCTACTTCACTGCGCACTTTACGGCCCAGGTGCTGTTGAAAGCTTAGCGAGCGCAGAATCGGTCGCACTGGGTCTGTCGGAACGTGTGATTCCTGTGGAGGGGCCCTGTCCAGCAGGCAGCCAATAAGCGAGTGAGTAAGTGAGCGAGTGGGTGACCCAGAGCCTCCGCAGCAACAACAAACCAGCCTCATAATCTTGTATTTTCGCGAATCCGGCTCTCATCGTTACACTTTCGCTGAATGACGCTCTCCTCCAATTTCCGCTCAGACTCGTGCTCTCTCCTTTCCTTTAACTCGCAGCGCCCCCCCTGCATGTGCAAAACATGCTTGGACAGGAGGTGGCAAGTTTTTCTTAGGTTTTGATGCGATTTCCCAGGCGTACTTACTTGAGGCAAATCAAGCATGAAAACGGCCGCAGGTATAGGCCCCTGGTACAATAGGTTTTGATGGGGGCAGTGCAGCCCCCACCGTTTTGCCAGCCATGCATGAAGATGTAGAGGCCAGGCAGTTTAGAGAGGAGCCTGGAGAGTGGAGACTGCAGTGGAGAGTGGAGTTGGGAGCGTACTTGAGGTTGGGGTGGGGTGTGGAGTGTCTCGGATAGGAAAGTGGAGTGGAAAGTGCTGCAGGGCAGTGTGGAGAATGGACACTGGGGAGTACAGCGTGGAGAGTCAAGAGGAAGGTAGAGTGGACAATGGAGTGGCAAGGCTGGGTGTGGAGTGTAGAGAGTGGAGTGGGGGCTGGAGAATGGACAGCAGAGGCTGAGTGGAGTGTTTTCCTCGTGTGTTCTGCGTATTGTGTCGTGTGTGGCGCTTCTAAATAATTAACGCGAACTGTGTGTCTCGTGGCGGGATCCTATCAGGTTTCCTCGTGAGTTTGTGAGAGTCTGCCCAGACTGAAGGCTCCGCGTATGCCTAATATGCAATGAAGCACAGTACACAAGTCCAAGAAAACCAAGAAACACTGCTCATGGCTTTTTGTACATTAGGCTGCCAGCCCCAGGCTACTCGTAATGGAACTCATGGAGCTTGAAGAGGGTCCCTCAATGACTGAAAACCCTAAAATATTTTAGGTCCTAAACTGCATCGCAGTTTCCATGTCATTTTCCAGTATCCCTATATTTCCTATATTACCCCATATTATTCCAATTTTGGATTACTACAAACCTGCAATGCTCCCGGCTAGCCTTAGCACTTTACCCCTAATCCCTAACTCTCACAAACCCTACCCTACTTGGAGCGTCTGTGCACACGTCATGGGGACTTAGTAAGCTGCCCTGTGCATCCAACAGATAGGAAAACCCTGGGCGTTGACATTGGGCTAGAGTAAAGTACAGCCCATGCCCATCAAATTTAAGCGGAAACCCAAGAGCCTCAAATTACCTCGACTGGTTTGTAAGACCCACTGGCCTGAACAGTTTTTTCAGTCCCAGCAATAGAGGTCGGAGCAAATTAACTAAATTCTTTAAATAGATACAATAAAACTGGCGAATTAAACTGATTAAACGAGTTAAACTAATTAAATAGAACAGCTTAAGTCATTAAAGTAGTTAAATAACCAAGTTAATCCATTCATTAAGTTAAAACTCAATTCATTAAGCCGACTGAATTGCTGAAATTAATGAAAGTAATTACATTAGTTGAATTCATGTAATTTCCTTAAATTTAGTTAGATTATTTAAATTATTTCTATCAATTGAATGCATTCAACTATCTAATGTTTAAAAATGTGTCAACTACTCAATCTTGGTTTGGTTATTGAAATTGGTTACACTAGTATACTGTTTCATTAACTAATTCAGTTCTGTAAATTAGATATGTTTGTGAAATTAGGGAAAGTAAACGAATTAAGTTTATTGAGCTAATTGGAATGAAGTGAATTCCTAAAGTTCATGAAATTAACTCAACTGGTTAATTAAATTAGTTAATTAAGTTAATCGCATTAATCAAATTAAGTAAAGTAATTGAATCAATTAAATCAGGTAAATGAAACAAATTAGGCAAGTACTTGGTTAAATCATTTTTTCAAACTAAATGAATGAATCAAATTAAGAAAAGACATGTAATTAAACAGTAAACTAGTTGATTACTTCAATTAGTTGAATTATTTGAATTTACGAAATTTGTTGACTCAATTATTCAATTAATTTCAGTGTTTCATTAGTTCGATTAGTTTAATTTATGTAAATCATCCAAGAAAGTTAACTAATTTAGTGAACTTTCTTGCTTTAGCTAATTTGATTGATTTACAGTAATTCCAATAAGTTGAAGTATTCTAATGTACTTAATAAGTGAATTGAATTCAATTAGTTAATTAAATTACTTAAAGCAATTTACAATTACTTAAATTAAATCAGTTCAATAAATTTGAATGATTTAGTTCATTTAATTGATTTATTAATTTACTCAACCGATTCAGCTTACTTAACTTCATTAATTTTCTTAATGTACTTCATCAAATTACTTTAATTGATTTACTTAGTTCAATAAATTCATTGTCGTATTTTCATTAATTTCATGAATTTCATGAATTCAATCAGTTTCATTAACTTAATGAATTTACTTCAAGTAATTGAATTATCGAATTTAGTTACTTTAATTTGTTTAATTAGTCTAATTAACTTGATTAATTGTTTACTTTACTTCAATTAGGTAAAGTAGTCGATTTAGATAAACTAATGCAATTAATTTAATTAACAAACTGAAATCTTTCAAGTAATTCAAATAATTAATTTCGTCTATTCAATGTTTACCCAAAACAGTAGTGTCATATGATACATAAAGGTCCTACATACATATTATGAACCTACTTACTAAGTCCTCCTACCCTCCAAGTAGGCGTGAAACCCAAACACTAAACCTTGAAGCACTACTACACCTTGAGTACGCAAAATGTTTGGAATTGCGGTATTTTCGGGACCCTCAGTAGTGCAGTTTATCTTCCATCAATAGCAGGAGTGAACATCCGGCGTGATGCGTGATTGGGTTTCCCAGAGTTTTCTCTTACCTTTGCAACTGCTTTGATAACGGCTTATATTATACGGCTATGCAAAGGGTTCTGCAGGGGCTTATATCGGAATGTTACAGTTTATAGAAAGACATAGGGATCATATACGATTATATGACCTATAGTCTAAGTCTAAACTACAGGACCTGCGATTCAAGGATTCTGCCTGTCACAGCTGGTGATAGCCACAAGTCAATCAGACGAGTCAGTCTTCCGTGGGGGTGTGCATTTGTGGGTGGATACAGGTTTCAGTGGAGTTCTTAATACTTCACAGTTTCCACGAACACTTTGTAAAAGCTCTCGGAATCCTGCTTGGAGATCAATGTGGCAGGTGCTCCGGGATGTGGCGGTTGGCCCCAGTCCTGCACAGCCTGGCTCCAGGTTCTCCAAGGCTTCAGGCGCAGGGAGATGGGGGGAAAAAGAGTTGTCCCGTTTTGAAGCTCTTGAAGAGCACAGGCTCTATGAGGGTTTCCCAAAATTGGGGGTACCATTTTTGGGGGTCCCCATAAGAAGGACCATCGTATATTAGGGTCTAGAAGGGGGGTCCCCCCCCCTATTTTGGGAAACTACCATATTCTTACGAAACTAGACTCAGACGAGTTCAGGGTCATTTGGCAGTTGTCTTATTTTGGATTAGCTCTGCAAGGGGCAAAAGGGTTCTGACATTGGTACCCGGAAAATATCCCACATCAGGGTCCCTTGTTTCAGGCCCTCGACACCCAGCATGCACACAGCAAGCCAAGCGACCTACGTATTGAAGAAGACTTGTATGGAGGGTTTGGGGTCTATATAGTATAGTAATTTCCATTTCCTTTTCCATTACCCCTATATAACTTCCATATACTATAGTAGTTTCCATTTTTTGTTTAGGGTTTCGAGGTGCCATCAAGAGCTTTGTCCTCAAACTGGCTTTGCCTTTGTTCACAGAGGCCTGGGGTGGGTTCAGGGTTTCGCACAGCCCTACAAATCATGGCTACAGCCAATGTAGCTCTAGCAATGCTGTGGTGGCTTCTACATGGTTGCACAGGCACTCAAGCTGTCCCGAAGGGTAGTTTCGGTTGCTGGAATTGAGGGGTGCATTCTGGTTTATATCGAAGCAGATCACTGGCCGTTGGCCTCTTCTAGCCTCGGCGAGAGGTGGGGCCAAACGTCCACCTGTGCCTCGCTGGGCTTGCCTAGGGTGCAAAGGGTTTAAAGTCGGTCTGCGAAGACTTCCTTGCGCATTTTCATGTTTGCAGTGGCTTTCACGGGCTGTGGGCTGCTGTCGATGCATTGAGTTTGGTCTGGCTGCAGAGGGTACTTTGACTCCTTGGCCGTCAGAATCCGTTTCCTGTGCCATGTCGCGCAATGCAAGTTCTGAAATACCTACGTAACAGCGCATGCGAAGTCATGCAGCAACCGGGCGCCGAAGGTTGTCCACTGGTGTTGTCAGGCAGAGTCGGACTCTCTGCAGCTTGCCTGGTCCTTCTTGTCCGAGAAAGTCACGGTGACGATGCCAACTTCTGCCTCCAGGCGCGCTGCTCTGCAGCATCGCTGACCAGAAGAGCCTTAGGAAGCTTCATGCGAAATTGAACAAGCGATTGGGACATCACCGCCCAAAAAGTACAAAAACTCTGTTAGTGCCAAGATGACAATCATAGTAGGGTAACGAATATCCATAGAAATAGTAACAAAGAACATAATGGTAAAAACAACACTAAGAACAATCGCAATAAGGGTAACAAGACGTAGTGGCACGCTCGAAGTAATCTCTGCCTCTCAAGGGCCGGATTGCCTGTCAGTCAAAGTTTACTGGGTGGCTGTTAAGGAATTTGTTATATTAAGCTACTATAACAAGGAAACCCTACCAGGGTTTTGAGGGTGTTCGCGAAATCGTTGTCTTGATCTTGCATGTTCTGGGCTTGGCCCCTTCCCCTGCTCTCAGCCAGGAAGGCACGATTGACCTCTTGGCAGACGGCTGCCAGCAAATCACGCCGCTTGGATAATGTGGACAAAGTGAAGTGATTTGGGGTTTTGGTGCAGACTGTTGCCATCGTGTTCTCTTTTGTGATGGCTGTTCCCTCAAGATGTACCCCAGATTGTCAGGCTCACGGGGCATCTGTACTTTGCAGACTGCCAAGACCAAGGCACTAAAGCATTGCTGGCGCTTGCAAAGCTCAGCAAGAATGTCTTGCGCCATGGGCCTCAGTTCCAGCAGGCCACCATCTTGAAGGCCTGTACTTGCAAGCCAGCATGAAGACAAGAATCTGGTGGAGACGAGTGTTTATACCCTGGCTCGGCATCCAAAAATTGCAAGTCCAGAAAGACATCAACAGCACATGAGCATGTGTAGCAAACAACCAGGTTGCGAAAGGAAATTGCTCGCGTAAATCAAGACATGTCTCTTGCAACGCCTGCCATTACGCCAGCTCCTTTGTACCAACTGATTTATCTAAACGATAAACTAGTTTAGAGTTGGCTAAGTGATCTAGGTAAATTTAGAGTCGTGGTTCCGAGAGTTCGGCAGCGGAGTGTTCCGACTTCCCATAGCGGCCGTTTCTGCTTATGACGGTTTCTGGTTTTCTTTTTGGAGGACCTTCACCCTGTAACAGTGACTATAGGGATAGTAGTAACTAGATGAGGGTCCTTTTATATTCCTCTTCTACCACTATTACCCGGTGGGGGGGGTCCTCCTAAGTTATATTACTAGCAGGACATGTTGTAATTGTGCTGCGGTGGTGGCTGCGGCGGTGGCGGCGGCGTTGGTGGTCGTAATGTGGTACCGGTGGTGGTTTTCATAGTAGTTGTACGGCGACGATTTTTTTTATCAAGTCGAGGGGCCAACCTGTAACGTTTCTGACGTAGTGCAAAAAACCTGTTTAAATGAGGATGTTTTCTGTTTTGCGCCAAAGCGCCCTCCAACCCAACCCCCTTCCAGCCAACTCAAGCCGGAGCGTTGGCTGGACAAGATCGTTGGTTGGCTGGAGGGGCCACAGAAATCCTTCACGGCGCACAGAGAGGGGCTGAAGGACTTTGGATTGAAGGATTTGGAAATCCGAAACAGGGCCCACCGGAAAGGGTCGAAGGATTCTTGGACATCTTTCAGGGCCCACAGGGTGGGGCGGAACGATTTCAAAAACTCCTTCAGCCCCACCCAGTAGGCCCTATGGTCCCGTGATGTCCCGTGCATTGCCCTTGCCTGGTTGAGGGCGTGACTTCTCTCCAGTCTTTGTCATTCTTGCAGCCTGCGCCTGTCACTGCCGTGGATTTCTGTTCGCGAGTGCAATCATGCTTAAACGGACACTTGGCTCATCTTGGCTCCCCACCAGCAGCCTTTGAGAAGTACTCGATGTGTCAAGAGCATTCTTTTCCACTGAAGCTGAAGACACGATCGCTTCAGGCTCGGTTTGTAGATTCACTGTAGATGCGCATGGTATCTCCCAACTTCCGAATAGCTTGTGGAACCATCAACCTTCAGCGTAGCTCCGAGCGATTGTTGGGATCGAAGCGTTGGGCACGGTCCCAGGCGTGGAGCAGCAACCCTGGTGAGGCCTGCAGCTAACACCGAAGCATCTGGAAGAGCCATCCTGCCGTACTGACAGGGTCTCACCCATCTTGGCCACGACCAGGTTAAAACACCACACAGCTGGAAAAGGCCTGGGCCAACGTCCGGTGAAATTCAACATGTCAGTGCCAGGTTAAAGCACCACACAGCTGATACAGGCCTTGGCCAAAGTCTCGTAAAATTCAACGCGCAATCAAGTCCTTCTTCGACGTCTCATCCAGTGCTGAAAGTAATACTTGTACGCAACTTCTTGAGAGGTTGGACTATCGCCCTGGTCAAAGCCTGGGCCTGTAGCAATTGCAGCTATTGCACACTTTGTGACGTCCAGCAGAGGAGTCGATGTGGAAGATGAAGCAACGCCCTTCTCTCCAAGAGGTCGACTTGGCAGCTCCTCTGACACCTTCTCCCCAGTCCTTCAGAAATGCTCAGCTCACCTTGCACACTTGTACTCGTCCCTCCTCCACTAGCTTGTCCACTTGCGCTGGTCACTGCGCTTGTTCCCCCAAACGCCATTGCCCGGTCCATCTCCATTTCCGAGCACCCCTCCGTCACTGCGGCTGCTGCTACTGCTCCTCCTGCCATCGGGCAGCCATGAGCTGTACTTGTAAGTCATGGCTCTGATGCTCAGACTGCGCAAGGCGCTGAATCAAGGGCAAAGAATTGTGGCTAGACCTCTTCTTGAATTGCGTCAGTAGGCACTCCTGAGGTTGAGCTTGGGGGGTCTTTGTTGAGCGAGGGTAGATGCAAGAGTGCTGCCCACGCGTCCCGGTAAAGGGTGATCCTCCCAACAAAGAGTTCTGCATCACCTCTGCTCTTGAACTCAGTCAGTCTCCACGTCGTGCCATCCATCTGATTTTTGGGAGGCTGTCTTCATCCCAGCCATCCAGCTCATCATAGGCATGAAGGGGTAATCGCACGATGGCGTCCTGTCATGTCAGCTCCAGCACCACCGCACTCTGCAGCGCTGCCAAAGTTGGCATCCGTCCTCGCCTTTGCAGCGTAGCTGTCCAACAACCCTCCTGCACATGATGGCCGTGACCAGCAGCCATGGGAATCTTTTCCGCTCTCCAACAAGCCGCTGAAAGCCTCTGATGTGCTCTACACGATGTCCAGCTTTACTGTTCATCTCCTGAATGGGGGTCGAAATTTGACCCTGATTTCCTTTGCGATGGGCACGGGTTGAGTTCTTCGTAGCCTTAACCTGTTATCCAAAGCCAAGCAAAATCACACCGTGACAACAGGCGGCTGTCAAGGTTTCCAGCAAGAACAGTAACCGCGCAGAGAACGTAATGGCAGCAGCGGCGGCAATCTCAGTAGTACCGTATCAGAAACCGGTCTGGGAAAATAGCTAGCATGGTGGGACGTGACACGTATCGTTCTTGTACATGTACCTTAGCCGTTAGTGTCTCTCTTGGCATGCATCCGTAGGCAGATGCGGATGTAGAAGACCTCCATTTTGTCACCAGCCGTTTTACCCACACCATCCTATCTAGCCAGCAGCCCCTTACATTCCCTCACAGCTCCCGTACTACAGAATGTCTTGCTAGTACAAACAGCTCATTTGCAAACCATGGGCACAGCAATCTTCAACCTCACCATGCGTTTGTTGGTGCGGCTGGTCTGGTAGACTGGCGGCTCCTCACCCTTGAATCCTGACGGCTTGAGGTCTGGCCTCCCAGAACAGAACCAAAACCTGAATTAGAGGTAATTCCTTCCGGCTTGCCTCATCAAAGACATGGAAGGCCTACGAGGAGTTCGGCACGTTGTCGCTGAAGCTCGGGCAGGAGGAGTTGCCTCCGCTCCGGCACACTTGCGCGCTGGCAACGGCCCTGACTGCCTTGCCGCGATCAGTCGTCAAAAGCCGAATCCGCGTCATGTGGATGCAGCAGCTCGAGGAGCTTGCCCAGCAGGACGAACCCCACACTTGCCGGCCCTTAGACTTGGAGCAGGCTGTTCAACAGTTGAGCAACATGGCAGAAGAGGACGCCGTAGCGGTGATCCGACATGTTTCACTACTGTGTGAAGAGAAGGCGCAGGACTACGTAGAGCTGTGAGCGCGGAAATGAGATTATCATTTTGGCGGCCCAAAGGTCAATCATTAAATGCCATGATACAGGCATGAATATGCCACGTCCGCATATTTTACATGTCGGAGCCGCCGCGGAAGGCAAATTCGTTTGCACGGAACCACATGCATGCGATGCTTCGGGAGTGCTTCGGCACGTTGGAGATGCGGCCAACTCCCAAGTTTGTTGCTCAGATTGCATCAGCATGTATCGCAATCCCTGGAGGGCAACAACCAGTTTCGAACACTTAAAGATTGCGCTCCTTCAAATCAGGATAGGCGAATCCTAGCTGAGTTACCTGAGACCATACAATCCTTACAACCCTACAGAGGCAGGATGCTCGGGTATATGCGCGCATGAACTGCCGATGACTGTTAACACACCGTCATGTAATCCTCAGGCAAGCCTACACATAATTCAATGCGGTCATGAGAACAGAAGTTGACAATCGTACTTTACTTGGTCCGCTTCCTCGACGACACAATTGAAATTGGCCAGTTATTTGGTGTAATCGAAGTCGAAATTGGAAGGGTCCTGCCTGGCTGCATTTGCCATGTGCATAGCATACAAGATCAAAATGACACTGTTTGCTCTCCTGCCCGCAGCAGTTGCCGCATGTCGGACATGGGGTCATATGCACCTATAGAAAGGATGCAGAACTAAGGGCATGGAAGACATTGGCTATTATTCTGAGGGGGTTCTCCATTAATAGAAAGGACCTCTCACTCCAGGTCCGGAAGGGGTAGCTCAGAAAGCAATATTTGAGCCTTTCTTTCCTAATGAATCTTTTTAAATACGCCTGCACCCGAAACATCAGCGCTCTTATTCTCATGGCTAGAGCAGCCTAACTAAGCAAGTCAGGCTTCCGTATCATCTTTCCTCGTCCAATTCTACAGCCAAGTGCCAAGCCCTTAGAAGATTATGCGAACTTAATGACCCTGAAAACAGCTGCAATTATTCAAAGAGGTTTGCCATTAAATCTAAAGAGAGAGCCTCTCACGCAAGGTCCCCAAGGGGGGGATCAGGAAGCAATATTGGAGTCTGTAGTTCTTGATGAAGAACAAGAAGCATCTCGGTTCTCGGAATCAGCCCTCTCATTGGGGATTTGGAGTTTCAAAGTTTAGGCTTTAGCGTTTTGAGCCTTAGATTTGAAAGTAGACCTCAAGCCTAACCATTGCTGGTTTTAGGGTCAATATGTGCGCCAAATCTAGGGGGGGTCTTGAGTCCAAAACTGCCTCTGCTTGAAAAGATATCTTTGACCCCAAATTTTTGCTCCACAAAAATGCTTTGTGTCTAGAGGCTTGGGGGTTGTGCTAATCAAGAGCACAGATCAACTAATGCAAGCGCAGTGGTGCATCCAACGTCTTGCATGCAATGTTCTGGGAGTGTTTTCGCCATGTTGGAGATGCGGCCAACTCCGGAGCATCTGCTGGAATGTGAGCAGAGTTCCCTGCGATCGCTGCAGAGAAACGACAAGTTGTGGCCACTATTGAAGATTTAGTTCCTTCACGACGGGATAGCTGAATCCTCCCTGAGACCTGAGAACGCTGCAGCAGGAAGCCCATGGTTACGTGCACATGAGCTGGTGAGAGACCTTACCAAGCAGTAACATAATCCATCCGTACAAAAGCCTGCATGCATGTCAATGTGCTCATGTGCACGCCAGTTGGCTATCGCACTTTGTTTGCTTCCTCGGCAGCACCATTGACCATTTATGTGGTGCTAGGTTCTCTCCTGCCCACACCAGTTGCTGCATGTTGGACATGGGGTCTTCTGCACCTGATGATCAACAGTCGGCATGAGAACGCGGAGAGCTTCCGAAGCAAGTTCTCCGACATGTGCATCCTGCATGACGTGGAGTATCTCAACATTGAGTATCGCAGAACGTTAAGAACTTCAAGAGTATCTTAGCATAAAGTCAAGTTGTCATGCAGGGCGTCCACAATCAGCAGTCATCTGCGCTCTTGATTAGTAAGCATGGCCCCCAAGAAGAATATCGACCCATTCTGTTAAGGATCCCAGACCGTTGCTTTATGGATTTCAATACACTTGATGGTTTGTGTGGTTATGTTTCTTCTTGGGCTTAAAGCAGGTTTCGAATGGATAGCGAATTGGTTCTTATTAGATTTATAAAGGAAGCTCCCGAAACATCTTTGATTTCTGTCTATATTGGTTGTATCAATACATAGATTTGATTTCAAAGTTGTAGTTTTAGGACTTAGAAATATTCCCCTATAGAAAGGATGCAGAACTAATGACACTGAAGACATTGGCTATTACATCTCCATTAATAGAAAGAGCCTCTCACGCCAGGTCCGGAAGTGGTAACTCAGAAAGCAATATTTGAGCCTTTCTTTCCTAATGCATCTTTTTAAATACGCCTACACCCTAACCATCAGCTCTCTTATTCTCACGGCTAGAGCAGCCTAAATGAGCAAGTCAGGCTTCCGGATCATCTTTCCTCGTCCTGTTTTGCAGCCAGCCAAGTGCCAAGCCTTTAGAAGATTCTGCGAACTTAATGACCCTGAAAACAGCTGCTATTATTCAAAGAGGTTTGCCATTAAATCTAAAGAGAGAGCCTCTCACGCAAGGTCCCCAAGGGGGGGATCAGGAAGCAATATTGGAGTCTGTAATTCTTGATGAAGAACAAGAAGCATCTCGGCTTTCGGAATCAGCCCTCTCATTGGGGATTTGGAGTTCCTAAATTTAGGCTTTAGCGTTTTGAGCCTTAGATTTGAAAGTAGACCTCAAGCCTAACCATTGCTGGTTTTAGGGTCAATATGTGCGCCAAATCTAGGGGGGGTCTTGAGTCCAAAACTGCCTCTGCTTGCAAAGATATCCTTGACCCCAAATTTTTGCTCCACAAAAATGCTTTGTGTCTAGGGGCTTGGGGGTTGTGTTAATCAAGAGCACAGATCAACTAATGCAAGCGCAGTGGTGCATCCAACGTCTTGCATGCAATGTTCTGGGAGTGTTTTCGCCATGTTGGAGATGCGGCCAACTCCGGAGCATCTGCTGGAATGTGAGCAGAGTTCCCTGCGATCACTGCAGAGAAACGACAAGTTGTGGCCACTATTGAAGATTTAGTTCCTTCACGACAGGATAGCTGAATCCTCCCTGAGACCTGAGAACGCTGCAGCAGGAAGCCCATTGTTACGTGCACATGAGCTGGTGAGAGACCTTACCAAGCAGTAACATAATCATCCGTACAAAAGCCTACATTCATGTCAATGTGCTCATGTGCACGCCAGTTGGCTGTTGCACTTGGTTTGCTTCCTCGGCAGCACCATTGACCAGTTGTGTGGTGCTAGGTTCTCTCCTGCCCACACCAGTTGCTGCATGTTGGACATGGGGTCCTATGCACCTGATGATCAACAGTCGGCATGAGAACGCGGAGAGCTTCCGAAGCAAGTTCTCCGACATGTGCATCCTGCATGACGTGGAGTATCTCAACATTGAGTATCGCAGAATGTTAAGAACTTCAAGAGTATCTTAGCATAAAGTCAAGTTGTCATGCAGGGCGTCCACAATCAACAGCCATCTGCGCTCTTGATTAGCAAGCATGGCCCCCAAGAAGAATATTGACCCATTATGTTTAGGATCCCAGACCGTTGTTTTATGGATTTCAATACAGTTGATGCGTTTGTGTGGTTATGTTTAACCTTGGGCTTAAAGCAGGTTTCGAATGGATAGCGAATTGGTTCTTATTAGATTCATAAAGGAAGCTCCTGAAACTTCT